CAATATTCAGCAATGACAAGAACACTCAAAATAATACCTTAAACCTAGGCTTTGAAGCAATTCACAAAGAGATTAGACTAAGATGATGCTTGAATAGTCTACTCTTGTCAATTTGGCTCTCATTTTCTGAACCACCTGCATTCTCTAATTAAATTGAAAACAAACCACTACAAATGAAAACACTTGTTGATAAATTATACTAGCAGTAATGAATTAAGTGCTAAGCTTTAACATGACATAAATGAATGGTGAGAATCAGGAGACAGTAGGCATCTGGTCCTGCTAATATTTTGAAGGCTTTAAGATATGCTGATACCAACATATTTTGAACATGTTTTAATATAAACAAACCACAAATGAAGATTCTTTGCCCTAGGAAAGCCAAAAGTCTGAAAAAGGATAAATGTACATGGGTGAGTCAAACCATCCACATCCATGACTAACAACACTGAGCGTGCACATGAAATCATTCTGTCGAATAGACAATTGACAATGGATTAGCTGACAAATCATTTGCAAATCAGCTGAGGTTCTGCCCATGAAAAAATCCACAACAGACTTGGGTTTTGAAAAGTTTGTGCAAGATGGGTACCGAAACAACTCAAGAAAGAACGTAAACAGGTGCGTTTGGACATCTACAAACAAAATTTGAACCAATATTCAAAGGAAGTTTCTTTAAAAAAAAAAAAAACACTGCTGGTGACAAGATATGTATTCATTATTGCAAGCCTGAGAGTAAATGGCAGAGTATGAAATGGGCATATCCTTAATTGCCAACCAAGAAAAAGTTCAATAGTCAACCATCAGATGGAAAATTGATGTTTACAGTTTTCTGGGATTCTCAAAAGTCAGTACTGGAACACTAACAGGAAAAAGTTCACAATCAACAGTGCTCATTACAGTGAGATGCTCACTGAAGAGCTGAAGCCTACACTTTGGATTAAACTACCAGAGGACTACTCTGTGATCTTGCATGACAAAGCAAGTCCACAAACCTCTGCCCATACTGTTGACTCTCTGCAGAAGCTTCGTTATGAGGTGTTAAAGCATCCTTCCTATAGTCCTGATCTTCCTCCATCAGATTTTCACCTGTTTGGTCCCCTGAAAACAGCCCTTAAAGGATCAAGATTCACCTCTGATGAAAAAGTGAAGATAGAGGTACATTTGTGGCTCACAACTCGGCCTAAAACATTTCTAAATATGGAATACAAAAGCTTGTTGACAGATGGACAAACTGTGCTGAAAGTAAAACAGATTATGTAAAAAAATGATGTACTTGTCTTTTCTAAAAGTTAATTAAAATAAATCCTGCAGCCAGAGTGAGGATAATTTTTGACTTTTCCTCATACTTATTTTTATCACTGTCCTGAGTACATATACCTTCTGAAAGAAATAATAAAATTTCCATTGGCATTTTTTCCAGATTATAACCATATGTACAGAAAGTTATACAGTGAGATGTGGCAACAAAAGAAAAAACTTTTAAGAAAATCTTCCACCCACTTTTCCTCAGGCAGCACTGATTATTTTTGCTTTCAAAAAGGTATGGAAAATTCTATCCATACCTTTCATATTCATGCAAATTTTAAGAATAGATCAATTTTCCCTTGCAGAATACCCTTAACTGTTTACTAGGTAAATTTGCTTGGATTTTTACTTGAATTTCAAGCACTTTGAACAGAGATTGTTGTTGTAAAGTGTTGTGGAGTGGATTCCTGTAGCAACCTGTAAGGGTTTCTGAGGAGCAGCTGGTGTGCTTGATTACCATATACTTAATTCACTATCGACTCATAACAACAGTGAGAAAACATCAAGTCCCTTAAGAGTTAAAAAACTTTTTATTCTTGAATTCCATCACTACTCCGGACTAATTTAACACCTCTTGTAAAAGCTTGCAGACCATTTCCGCTGCTACAAATTCACACAGAGGAAACAGTTGTGAAGGTCAAAGCAGCTAATTACCAAACATTACGGAAGTAAACAAAAGTTAAGAAAAAAAGATAAAGTGAAAAAAGTCATTGTTTTATTTTAAGTTAATACGTTTTATCAACATATTTCAATCTGTAGAACGAAACTGTTCTATCCTGTGTGGGGGATATAACTGGAAGTAAAGACCAGATTGAGTGGAGTGCTCTCCATGAAAATTCTTAGTATTTCATTTAAAACACTGTACAGTTAAAAAAAATTTTTTTAAATGATGACTTCTAGGTACATCTGAAGTGACCACGTTGAGCCACCACAAATAAAGTCGTGAAATCCGCATGTGGCTAAAATATAAATGTTCTTTGTTTAAAGCAAAATGTACACATCATTGTGCTTTGTCAACATTTCCATCCAAGCCAGTTTTAAAATTTCCAATGCCAAGAATCAAACTAAAGGTCAATGTTCTATACAGGGCAGTAGGCCTCTGCTAAATCAGCCAAGAGATCTGTGTTATCACAGAACTTACTGGTTTGTACTTTGGGATGTACTGTGCCAGAGGCATTTTCAAACTGTTCCTGGGTAACACACACCTCGGGTATCCAAGAGTACAAAACCCTGCTAGACATACATATGAACTTAGTTGCTCCACAGACACCTCACAGTAGTCAACCTACTCTTCGTTCTTTTCCCAACCTCTTCATGAAACTATTTTTCATTTAGTCATCAAAGCTAGAAACATGGGAGTCACTTTAAGTTTCTCCCTTCTTCTTCAACATCAAGTCAATCACTAAGTGTGGCTGGTTTGACCTTCTCTGTTTCTCAGTTTTGTCCCCTCTTCATCTCTCTCACCACTGTCATAGCATGGAACATAATGATTCCCGCCCCCTCCCACTACCACCCCCTAACTTAACTTGTTGTTAAGTGCCATCAAGTCAGTTCCAACCCATAGGGTTCCCAAGGTGAGTTTGAACTGCTGACTTTGTGGTTCAAACCAACCTTACTGTCCAGTGCTTTGTCCCACATCACAGCACCAGTACTTTCCCCCCTAGATTTCTATAATAAGGAGTCCTACTATGGCATTCTGGTTAATGCGCTGGACTGCAAAATCCGTTTTAATAGCAAGGTCAGTGGTTCAAGCTCACCAGCTGCTCCTCCGAAACCCTATGAAGGATTGCTAACAAGTCCTGGGGTGGCACTGTGGGTTAATGTGCTAGACTGCAAAGTCGGTTTGAACTGCAAGGTTGATAGTTCAAGCTCGCCAGCTGCTCCTTGGAAACCCTCTACAAGGTCACTAGGGGTCAGAACCAACTCAATGATACTTAATAACAACAATGGGTCAGAATCGACTCAACAGCACTTTAACAACAACAACTATAATAAAGAAGCCCCAGTAGTCCTGGTATGGAGCTACGGGTTTAAGGCGCTGCACTGCAAGGTCAGTTTGAATTCTAAGGTTGGTGGTTCAAGCTCACCAGGTTCTCCTAAGAAACCCTATTTAGGGTCATTATGGGTTGGAACTGACTCGATAGCACTTAACAACAACAATAGTAACATAGTGGTTACAAGTTGGACTACTAACTGCAAGATCTGCAATTCAAATCTAAATCTAACACTCACTCCTTGGAACAAAGAGAAGGTTTTCTGCTCCCATATAGATTTACAGCCTCAGAAACGCTATACAGGTTCATTCTGAGTTGGAACCAACTCGATGGCACACCACCACCACTACCAACACTACCAAACTATTATAATAATCTGGAGTTCTAGTGTGACACTGTAGGGTAAGTATTGGATTCCTAGCCATAAGGTTAGCTGTTCAAATCCATCACTCTTCAGAAACTCTATACAGGGTCATTATGGGTCAGAACCTATTCACCGACACTTAACAACAAAACAACACCAGTCTCTTAACTGGTATTTCTGCTCCAAGTCAAGCCCCTTTCATGTCTATCCTTCACTATGCAAAAAACAACTCCAGAAAGCCTTGAGATTCAGCAGCATTTAACAGGCAAAAATGGGAGGAGGAAGGCATTCCAGACAGAAGAACAAAAAACCTGTAGGAGTGTTATATAGACACTGTTAGGCAAGTCACAATAGCTGGGATGCTGTTGGTGGAGATGTGATAAAAAATGAGGTAGGAAATATATTACATAATATGAACTTAAAAAGATCTTTTTAAGCTTCAAACTATAATTCCATTATTGACACAGTCAATTCAACAAAAACTCTGCTGCCAATGATAGTATTCAGAGAAGAGGGAAAAAATTTAGACAATGCTGAAAGAATTGCTTATATAACAAATATTGAAAGATTAATTGCAAGGGCCATCTTCCTCATTGCAATTCTTGCTGAATGGCAAGAAACTAAATAATGCCCTGAAATCTAAAGAGTTCTTGAGCTACAGACTTTAATTAGCCCCTTTCATTTTTAAAGCCTCATCTCAAAAGTTACTTCATTCTGTAAACCTTTCATCACTAACTGAATATTATCTGTCTCTCTTCTGGGCTCTCACAGCCTTTGACCTGTGCCAGTCTGTTTCTCTGTGAATGTCAGATCATACTGGCCATCTGTAAATTCTATTGCCCAACCTTTATCTTAACTGTGAATAATTTAAAATCACCATGTTAATCATATTTCTAGTGCCAAAATGAATTGACAGAAGAAATGATCCTAAGAAGACAACTCACTCTTTACTCTTGCTTGTTACAACAAAGAAAAGAACCTGAGAACTCTAAGAATGGGATGCGGAAGCTGCCTTTGGCTTTGCCCTAATGATGAGCTGGAGTCCTGGTGGGCACTGTGGGATAAAGCACGGAACCGCAAGGTCAGTTTGAACTGCAACGTCAGTGGTTCAAATCCACCAGCTGCTCCTTAGAAAACCTATACATGGGTACTGTTGAGTTGGAACTGACTTGATGCACTTTAATGACAACAACAAAGGATTAGCTAAATAGATTAGACCTTTATGTACTTAAAACAATGTTCAGATTCTACAGTGGCAGCAGATAAATGCTTTTCCAGCATTACATGAAAGCAGGGAAGAATATACATAGTCAGTGGTGGATATGGCCACTCACCTGCCGAATCGACATGGTACAAAGAATATACAGGAAGATGAAGGAACAGTCCGTGGTGTCATCCCCTAGCAGGTTTCGGTGAGAGAGCCCTTGGATGTAGGAAAGGGGGGTAAAGGGGAGCTTTGCTACCACTCTACCATCAAATCTAAAAGGAAAAAACAAATCACTGTTATTTTTGGAAGACTGACAAGCTTCTGGTTTTGAGACAAATCTGAGATCAAAATAGAACTTAACTCTGAAAACCTGAGAACCTTACAGAGCTTTTGTTTATCTAAGTTTAATTATTTATATTTATCATACTAGAAATCAAAACTAAGAAATGCTAAAATAGAAATGCCAATTTTTAAAAAACTAGTGAGGAGAGGCATGTTTTTGCATTTTTG